TAGATGGTATTGACAAAATCCGCAATCACTTAGTTGCCAACCCAATAAATACACTTTTTATCCGAGCGAATCTTCTACGATCAAGCGATCGGATAAAATTTTCATCGAGATAAATCGTTGCACGAATAATCTGGAAATCAGAGGAACATGTGGATTTTTCTGGCTGACTGTACGTAAAAATCCGTTGCTTTATTACACTGTCAGAGGGTTAATTTTACAGTAGCGGCTCTCCTTCATCGACAGAGGTAATCGATCGTAACCGATCGACCTTGCGGATAACTCGTTTCCTTGTAGCTGCTCCATCTTTTCTTTTTTTCTTTTCTCCCTCTTCTCGCGAGATTCTCGTCTCGTCTGGCCAAATCGGCCGACGTATGCACATCGTCAAATTACCATCGACGCTTTTACAAATTCGCGTCTCGTTCGATCAGCGGCGAGATCGTCTAACGATAAGCGGATCGATGGATGTCGATCGTATGAAATTTTCGGGCCTTTGCGCGAATCCGTGCAAACAACCTTGAGCCAAAGGAGGACGAGGTCGCGCTCGTATTCTCAGCCACGCTACTAGACGACCTTGACTTTTTCTTTCAATTAAATTATTCACGCGTCAGAAAAATCCATCCTTTCGCGAATCAAAATCGACTACCAAAATGGTTTCTCCCATCATTTCGCATTCGTTGGCAATATTTTCTCACGAATCATTAATTCACCCGTACAATTGCTTTTTTCCCCCAACTTTCGAAGGTCATCATAGGTGAAAGTTTAGAGCAGCTCATCCTTTTTAAATTAAAAAATTAGACAATCGGCAATATCGAATTTCTCTGCCCAACGTCGTTTAGTATTTTATTTAGTAATTCCACTTGTTCATTGGGAAATATAATAAAAGAATAATTGCAATTTATTGGATATAGTCCAATTGTATCGAGAAATAATCTCTGAATATGTAGTTTCTGATTGTTTAAATAAAAAGAAAAAAAAAGTGGATTAAGAAGAGTAGAGAAATGATCGTAACGATGTTACAAACGCTATACATTCGCTATTTGTTTAAATTAAACTCGGCATTTGCTATCATTTATCGCGTCACCTATTTGGCATGAATGAAATTATGGACACAGATGAACCGTCAATCGTGCGTTTTCCCGCGATTAAATTGATAAAACCGATAAGTTTGCGGTTGAACTTTAAGTCTAAGGGAGCTTATCGGCAGTTTTAGAGATCGAGTACGAGTTGAAAAAGGACAAGCCAAGTTGGTTGCAGCTTCCAGCTCACCGGCCAGGCACGAACTTTCACCATACCGAGCGTTGTCTCGTGGTAGAATCTGTACGGGTTTCTCGGAGATAATGCGTTTGATTTCGCTACGATCTTAACCCATTGCACGCTACCAAATTAATTTGCTAGCTACCTGCTTTAGAATTATTTTTTTTTTATTAATTAGCAATTAAGCATTCGAACACTTTCGTAAGCCAACTTTCACCATAGTCTTCAGGGGTTAAGCAAACGAATTCAGAATGGTAATAAAAGTGGAATTCTTGTTAATTCAGGATATCCTGTACCATCGCAAATACACTGGCAGACAATGGACCTCGAAGTAAAGCACTGTCCATCGAAGGTAATATGTCTTTCCTTATTTTCCACCGCGTTCAATTATTCGAGCAACGTCTTTCACGTTGCTCTCTTTTCTTAACGTCGGTAGAATTCGTAACCTCGCACAAAGTGCCGGAGAACATCCCACGGCCGTGGGATTACGACGAGGACGACGACGACGTGGTCGACGTGGAAAGAAAAACGATCTCGAAGCACGGGAAACACGCGAAGAAGGTTATACCAAAGTTCGAGAGTTTCGATAAGAAGCCGGGCGATCTGGATCCAGTCAGACGTTTCGATTTCGTCGATGAAGACAAAGCGACTAACGGTAACAACGCGAAACGGCAGGTTCGCGTCGAATTGGAAAACTTCGGCGACACCGGAGTCCTTCAAGAAGATGGTATCCGAAGATCGGATACGCACAGGTCGCGGCTACAGAATAACAAAGACTCGGTCATTCCTGGAGTGCACGTCAGGTAAAAACACTTGCTGTTTTAGCCACACACATGTTATATTATTATACCACTAAGCTATAATATTTTACCAAATGTCCCACTGGACAAATTGTAAAATGTAAATAAAAAAAAAAAAATTTGCTGTTTCAACGTTAGAATTACACCGATTCGCCAACATACTTGAACAATTATCGTAAAAAACTTCGATAAATATATGAAAGTCGTAGCAGTCGTTTGAAATGTTAAAGTTGAGTCTGCATAAATTTTATTTTTTTTTTTTTATTTAGTTATTTACATTCACAATTTGTCCGATTTGGACATTTGGTAGAACTGCATAAATTTGATCATCGAATTTCGTTGATTTTCAGCGACGAGTATCCGACTACCATGATGCCGGTTCTCACGACGCCACGCGAGGCGCGTGCTTTCGATTTCGTCCCGGTGAACATCATCCGTGACGATGGTAAAGAAACGTCGTTCCACGAACGAAACTTTGGCGACTTCAGCGACGTCAGTTTAGTGCCCGCTGGAACGAATTCGCGCATCCAGGTGACAATTCCTCTGCATCTTAACGCGTTCTTACGTCCAGTAGCCGATCATGTCTCGCGCTAGTCAACCGATAAAAGTCATAGGTCGAAGAAACTCGTCTATCCTTTTCTCGTTTAGGTTGTCCGAAAAGTTTCTTTCGTTTTATAAGGAAATAATAGACGCACAATATTTTTTGTTTTATGTCTGAGGTGATATTGGGTGTAGTGCGTTAAATAATCACTCGATGATTAGATCAACGATATATTTATTAACAAGTGTCTTCTTTTGATCGCGTCGCGTATCGCTCTCGGTTTAGCTAGTTAATCTCGCTGCCCGCTTACAACTCGACTTTATCGCTTCTTGGTTCAAACCTAACTGTCGATCGGATTCCATTGTTTTCGTTTTGTCGCCTCCCAATATCCGCACTATCCACGCGTTTGTTAAGCGTCCGCACCGTTGCCACGCACGCCTTCTTCTCGAACATTCGGCGGGAGGACCGTTGGGGTATCGATGACTTATTAGGCACTTCGCTTCGGCGATATACATTGTTGCCGAGTGCCGCCACATATTAGTTTATTGTATTATGCGCGAACATAACGATAGAAATAGAACGAATTGGATCATATCTAATTCAATGAAATAATGTAAAACAGAAATTGTTTTACATTATTAATCACCTTGTGAAATAATCACCTTGTGAAACGAAAGAAACTTTTCGGACAAGCTAGTATCTATCCAGAATTAACATAGGATTGTGACTACATAGGTAAAGAAAGGACCGAACGGAAAGGACTACGAATACGAGTACGTATACTATTACTATGACGAGGAGGACGAGAACAAGGCGGGTACAGCGGACTCTGCTGTCACCAATTCTTACGACGTTCCTTCTAGAACTACGTCCGCGCCTAGGCGCGGAGGATCCTCCGCCAACAGAAGCAAGTACAGTAACGTGGAAAGGTCGAGCACGGTGGAACCTGCCAGCAACGAAGTGATACCAAATCGCAATAACAACAGAGGCAGGCAATTGGTCGACGCGGAAGACGTCTCCGAAGAAAGGTTACCAACGAACACTAGATTTCCACCTAGGTGCGTGTTTCGTGCGAAACCTTAACCATCGTCCCTTTCCTTTCCATTTTTCCTCCGCGCCGCTATTCGAGTAATAAATATAGCTACAAACTCGTACGACAACAGATCACGATCGAATCACAACACGGCGACCACGGAGCCTTCTAGAACCCGCGGGAATCGTCCTAGACCTGGTCTAGACCTCGTTGACTCGAGCAGTTTTCGAACGCATCAAGAGGGTCCGGAGTTTCCTCAGGTTCTACCTAAGGGACCCGTCAGATTTCTCGGTGTTACTCCGAACGAGGACAATGGAGAAGAGAGAGCGACAGCTAGAGGACGCGGCAAACCGCAAAGGGTCCAAGAACCTGCTCCTGTAGAAGAGCTGGTCGAGGACGTGCCCGTTCCCACGACTAGGAGGAGACCGATCACCACACTGTCGCCTCAAGTAATTATTGTACCGTTTCATTTCTGTTTTTTCTTTAATATTAATGCTACAACTCGTAAAGATAGAATTCGTAAAAATTATCCGTTGAGCGTATCCGGAACAGCTGTGCGATCATATTTCCTTGCAGACCGAAGGCGAAGCAGTCAGAGGATCCTCGCACGGCAGCGGAGAGAAAGAAGAGCAAACAGAAGAAACGTCTTCGCCAACAGAGAAGAGCAGAGACAAACAACCATCAAGCAAGCAAGAATACGAAGACTCGGATTCCTCTTCAACGACCTCGGCAAGCACCGCTTCAACTGCCATGGAAGATCCAACCACAGAGTATCCGTCTTCGATGGACAAAGTGGCGCTCGACTTGTACGCTTTCGTGCAACAGGGTCAAAATAATTTGGTGGACGCGCCTAGCAGCGAAGCTACCGATTCTTCGTCAGACGAATCGACGATATCTAACGAGGAAGCTACTACCGATCTGGCAGCTGTGACGGAAATGTCCGCCACCACGGTGACCCTGGAACCCACGACGATCACCACTACGGCGTCGCCCACCGAACCGATGACTACTACGGCTGCTACAACTACTACCGTTAGTACCACCACGACTACTACGACTACGACGACCGAACCTCCTACTACTACAACTACTCAGGCACCTGCTGGCAGGGGAAAGTTCAGGAGGCCAGGAATAGGGGGAACTACAGGTTCCAGAAATAGGTAGGAAAAGATTTTAAACAAAGGATTTTTGTACGACGATCTGATTCCTTAAGGTTGCGATTAACATTGGGAAAAATCGTCGAATATGAATATAATCGTCTTTGAATATTAATGGAAATTAAGATGTGAAATTTATGGTATCATGCGCGGGTCACTCGCAAGCGGAAGACAATTTTCTTTGCTGGATTCAGATTCAACAGCGTCTTATTTCCTTCTCCAGATTCAAATCCAACGGAGGCGGAAGTACGACAACCACCGAAGCTCCGGCGGAACCAACGCCGCGTACACGAAACCGCTTCGGGGGAAACGGTTCGAACGGCGGTGGTTTCAAGAGAAACCGTCCTGGACAAAAACAAGCGTCAGTGGAAGAGGACGCAGTGCAGAAAGAGAGTTCCAGCTCAGTGCACGCGGAACGTCCTTCCTCCAGTACTCGTAGCAGATTTCGTGGCACTGGATCCACGAGATCCGTCTCGTCGACGACACCAGCCACGTCGAATGGTGGGTCGACCGCTGCCTCCAATGGACCGTCAGGAATATCAAGACCGTCTTTCAATAAATTAAACATCAATCGGCGACGTGGAAGACCGACTACGAATGCTCCAAACGCTAGCGAAGAGAGCCAAGAGTCGACTCGCTCGGAAACAGCGAAGGAAACCGCGCAGGAATCTGTTACGGCCGCGCCAAAGTCTACTGTTCGTGGACGACTTCCGACCACAGGAGTCAGACCAGTCATTAAACCTGGGGCGAGGATAAATCTGAGAACCAAACCGGGTCATTCGACGACCACTACGACTACCACGCCGCTGCCTGCAGATAAAGAGGAAGAATCGTCTATCGACGAGCCAGCGGGAGAGGGAACCGAAGAGGAGACTCACGAGGTGAGTTTTAAGGGGCCTACACACGATCGATGATACACAGCGCAGCAGCAGAGACATCCGACGGTTTTTAAGTCTGCCTCCGTCTGCAACCTTCTCTTGGCTGACAGCAGTTTAAATACTTAGCTAGTTTATTTTAGGTTCTCTTGTTTCGAAGGATCACCCAAAATTCCTAAACACTCTTCCAATAGTCAGAAGTTTCATAATAAAACACAGAAATAAAGCAGTAGTTTTTATCGCTACGCTTTTACAGTACAGAAAAATGTAAGAAAAATACGGAAAACCCCGGCGTGGAGTTAAAACGAAAAAGCATTGTACCCAGAAGGAAACGTGAAGATTTATAGTTTCATAGCGGTACACAATGCCGATTCCGTGAAAAATTAACGAAACTACTCGTCGGTGATGTTATATTTGGGAAATATTCATACAGTGTCTTGAACAGTTTGGTAGACTTGGTTAAGGTTGCAATTTTGGGCGTTCGATGAACCTTTACTCAAATTTACCATCGCGGATGTTTACCGGTACAAATGTGGGTACTACAAGAGGCTACAAGTAGTAGCGACGATAGGATGGTCGAGATGCCTATGACAACGAATTCAGGTTCGACAACGAATCCACGGTCCACGAGATGACAAGTGCCAACGTAATACACGATTCGGATAACTCTCTCGATAACTCAATCAGCAATTCGTCCAACGACTAACTGACTAACTGACTAACTGACTAACTGACTAACTGGCTAACTGGCTAACTGACTAACTGACTAGCTGACTAGCTGACTAGCTGACTAGCTGACTAGCTGACTAGCTGACTAACTGACTAACTGACTAACTGACTAACTAACTGACTAACTCGTAATCCAAATGAAACTGCCCTTATACAGTTCTTTTCCCACTCCTTGTGTCAATCTCTGTTTTTGAAGAGAGCTGCACAACTATTTTCTACTTCCGTTATTACACGTCCCTCCCGTGACCGTGGGTACGTTCGGTGACTATTATGTTACCTCGAGTCCAAACCTATCGTCATAAACCTTAAGTGCCCCCATAACTATTTCTTCGTTTATTGCTTAAATATCCTTGTCGTAAACATCTGGATTGGGGTATTGGGGTTTTCCGAACATTCTAAAGAAAGGTCCGGATGTCCTTTCATCTTCAACATACATTTTCTATAGTATTCTTTTTTTTTATTTATTTATTAAAATTACAATCAATTCTCGCGTTTAGAATTTTTAGTAATTCTATAGTATTCTGCAACGTTGAATTATGCTGCCGTTGGCGAGAAAATCGTAAGATACCTTGTGAACACTGTTCGTAAACACGTTTGCCTGAATGTCCCTCGGTCAATCTTCTCTCTGCACTTCGCTTTCACCAAGTGCCCTTTCGCAAAATGTCACATGCCGTGCATGCTTTGACACTAATTCGCGTCTGTTTCTCGTCTTTCGAGTGCCAGTTGCGTACGACGAATGCCTTGCATCGTTCTGGTCGTCAATTTCAGTCAACTAATTTCATGTTCAATTATTCTTGCACGTTGGAAAAAGCTACGAGCGTCGGTCTGTAATTCAACAGTCGATACACGATACACCACGAAAATGTTGGTTATGGCTATGCTATAGCGATTCGTGAAAATCTTCCAACGCTTGCGCGTTGTACTGTTAACAATTTCTCCATTCGCTCAAAATATTTCCTTCTTCAGGCACCGGCAGAGACCAGCCCGCCGCCAACGCGTTCCACCACTGTGAACCCCCTAAACAAACTGCGAAACCGAAACAGACTACAAGTACATCCAAAAACGACTACCAGAGCGCCAGTGTCGTTAGCATCGAGAAGATCGCCGTTGTTACCACGTCGCAAGGTAACCGAGGCACCAGTTGCCCAATCTAGCCAGGAGGAAGCGTCCGAGGAAGCAGACAGTTCCAGCGAAACAGAGGCGACCGAAGCCACATCGGCTGAAACGAGCACAGCAGCGAGCACAAAACACGAGGAAACCAGAGGACTCGGTGGACTTTTGGCGCCCAGGCGCAGGATAACGCCGCGACGACCTGGACAAATCATCTCGCGGGAGTAACAATGAATAATTAAACGAACGATCCTACCTATCCATCGAGCCGTTTCTATTCCTCGTCGTAGTCGGAATCGAGAAGGATCAAAGTCACTTGAAAACGCGATCAATTACGAATCTGAGGGGAGGCCGACAGAGAAGCTCTTATCGCGAAAATTGACGCGAGAATTCGAGAAGAAAAGGCTTAAGATAGTAAAGACCGCCATCGTTCCTGAATTTTCAGTATTCGTGTCATTTTTCAGCTCGAATTTCGTAGGAGAAAAGGGAAATTCTGTCGCGTTAGTTTATCTCGATCGAACGACAATCTCGAAAATTGCTGACGAGGCGAGGGACCATCCCCCGGGTGTAAATCGCAAATTTTGAGGAAAATTATGTATAATGACGTAGTTGTGGAAAAAAATATTTGACATGTTTTTTTTGTCATGCGTATAGAGCGAACGTATGAATTAGACGGTGGATGTAAGTACGTACATGATGAAAACCGTTTCCGGTTTTCACTGAGAGAATTTTCACTGAATGTGCGCGCACGAATATCACGCGACCGCTATTGAACATAATAACGCGGTTTCTTATCTTTATTTAATAAATAAACGCGATTCTCGTAGAAAGATATCGTCAGATGCACTTTGCTAAAGCGATACGTGGTCGCATTCGACTCCACACTTTTAGAACGATATACAACTCGCGTCGTATCGTAAGACAATGTTTCTGTAATTACAATGTTCCATGATACGCTGTAAATATGATACTGCAATTAAAGATATGTAAACCCAAATATATCACTCTGTTCCCTTACTCCATGAAAAAGTTCTTTTTTCTTTTTTTTTTTTTATTTATTTATTTACATTTTACAATTTGTCCGGTAGGACATTTGGTAAAATATTATAGCTTAGTGGTATAATAATATAACATGTGGATGGCTACCCCCAGTGGGATACCATCTTCGAATTTGATTGATTTATTTCTTTAGTGTGGTGAGTGTTTGTATGTTAGGTTATGTCCTTTGTGAGATCTGTTTGGTGCCATGGAAAAGTGGTTTCATAAATGGGGCTTCAAAATTAACGAAAAAAAATCCTCACATGTAACCTTCACGCTTCGAAAACAAACCTGCCTCCAGGTCACCATCAACAACACAATAATACCTAGCAAGGACTCATTAAGATACCTGGGAATGACCCTGGACAGGAGGCTAACTTGGAAAAATCACATCTCAGGTAAAAAGAAGCAACTAAAGGACAAACTAGAAAAATTCTATGGGCTCACAGGCCGACGCTCCAAATTAAACATACAGAATAAAAGTACCCTCTACAAGACTGTAATAAAACCTGTCTGGACCTACGAAATCCAATTATGGGGAATAGCAAGTAACTCCAACATTGAAATACTTCAACGCTTCCAATCGAAAACGCTAAGATCCCTAATTGATGCACCCTGGTATGTTACCAACGAAACGATACCCACAGTCAAAGAGCAAAAAGCAACATATAGCGACAGATATAGCAAAAGAGTCAACAAACACCGAAACACCCTAATCACTGGACTACTTGATACGACGGACCAGATCCGCAGGCTGAAGAGACACTACCCGCTAGACCTAAACGATAGATTCAATTAGTTATTTAAATTAAGTAATATTTACTCATTTATAATACTTACGTACAAATTATACTTATCTATAATAAGTATTAACTTATTATAAATAATTAGCCATGTTACTGCGCCACGTCAGAAAAATTACTGAAAATTCTCAACGCGAGAATTGATTGTAATTTTAATAAATATTAAAAAAAAAAAATTCTGTTCCCTTTTTACTTTTCACTTTGCATCGTAAGTTCTCTAAAAGAAGTTTTAAGGAGAACCAAACCTGAAAATATAATTTACATTAAATCTTAAACTATCAGTTCGAGGCATATGAAACGACGTTTAGTCGAGATTTGTCGCTGTTCACATCCCAAGTTTCAAATTTTCAACGTGTTACGTAACGTAATATATATTTTTATATGTACGTATAATAATAGAAAATAACAAATAAACAATCCCAGCGGCTTTTAGAATATATGTATATGTGTGATGCGTGGATTAATATGTTAGGGTTAATATGTAAGTATTAAAATATAAGTACACATCTGATTTGTACCCCCAACGTCTATGTATACATTCTATGGCTAAATAAGAAGTCTAAATCGATAAGTGTTAATATAGAAATCGTTTTTATCAACTGTTCAACAGGAAATAACGTAAATATGCTTTCTAGAATCAACGTGTGGTTCGTGACTAGCAGAACAAGGTGGACTACAAATAGAAGGAAAATTCAGTAAAGATGGTGATAGACGGGGAAGTGGTCGAATGTTTCGAACAACTAGATATCTAAATTAGCAGTAAATAATCGTTCGTGTTCCAGTCAACATGTGAGTGGGGATTCATGAGTTTGCAGACGATAGTAATAAACACGTGTCAATTTGGAAAGCGGGACAAAAATCGGCAAAAACGAAGGTACGACAGGATGCTTTGTTTATGGAGATCAGCTGTGTTACCAAACATTCCTATCGCTTTCGCTGCAGCGTCTACGACGCTTCTATTTTCGTCGAATAAAGGTCAGCCAAAAGCATAGATAAAAGCGATGCTTGATGCACAAACAATACATCGTAATTTAACCACATTATTGATAATCTCGCAAAATCGGATCTTGAATTTCATTTTAAAAAAATATTGAAAAAATCGAATGCATCCTCTTATCGGAAAACGAATCGAGTTTTTTATTGCGCGTTCATCGATCGTTCAATTTTTCATTTTTCTTAGTCCAAAGAACTAAACTGTTATTGTTACATATGTATGTATGCGTCACGTTTTTAATTTCTCAATATCATCAATCACGCGAATAGTATTTTAATAATTTAACACAATGTTAACTTTGACCGTATGCTTGCAAAGAACTTAAACCGAAATGTAATGGTTAAGGATACATCTTGGAAAATATTCACTTTGTGCTTATACTTGCAAAGAAATTGCATGAGAGCATAGTGGTTAAAAAATATTTTTTTTTATGTGTTAACACATTCTTTGACACAAAGGATGACCAATTGATTGAAAAACATTGATGCAATCTTCAGATAAGAGTATAATTGTTAAAATGTAAACAAAGAAACAATACGCTAGCTTTGTTCCTTTTGATATTTATATATATGTATATGTAATAATAGAAATGAAATACAATAAGGAAACTAATAGGCCGATATAAATGCATTTTCTGTCGCATTAACAAGTTCATTTGGTGGGTGGCTTACATTTTAGATGCTTGTGGAGCAACCGTTGACCGGTAGTTAATTATTCTTAATGACATGTGAGAATGAAACGAGAAACTGTCATTACCTGTGTAGAGCCAAACCGACGAGCAAAAACGGTAAGGTTGTGACTTTTAGGTAGTTAGTAATCCATTATCCATTACTTTTATTTCTATCCTCTCAAAACCATAAGAGAATACATTACAATCAATGTATCAAGTATTTCTGTATCAAGTACAAATTTTCGATTAATTCTATGTGTACTAGTCTTCCTATAAAATTGAATTAATTTATTGAAAAAATAAATCTGTATGTACCATGTATCTAGATGACGACGGTATTGGATGGCAGCTACCAACGTATGGAGCCATACGATGGGGAAGAAGAGGATGGAGAAGACGATGATGAACACGAGGAAACACCTCAGGAATCTGGTGTTATGATACACGTAGTACCAGAAGGAAATAAAGCTAGATGGAACCATATTGAAGATCTAGATTCTTTTTTTACAAGAATGTACCACTACCATCAAAAACATGGATTCGCTTGTATGATACTCCAAGAAGCACTTGAACTAGGACAATTCATTTTCGTAGTTACTTTTTCAACTTTTCTCTTTCATTGCATCGATTACTCCGTATTGTTCAAGTGAGATTTGCTTAACAATATCAATACGATAAATAGAAACATAAGTGAGAAACTCGACTAATAAGTTTGATATATTTCCAGGAACAAGCCCCAAACATCGCACAAAACGTCGATAAGCGACGTGATTTTACCAACGAGCGAATGTGTAGCATCTATGGGTCTGGTTACTTGGATCTGTATTTTAGTAGCCGCGATTTTTTGGATTTTACGATTAGTAAAAGTTTTGTATCATTGCACGCAGTTTTGGGACATAAAGTTATTCTTTAATACCGCGTTGAAAATTGAAGACTGCGATTTGGACAATCTCACCTGGCACGAGGTACAAAAGCGAGTAAGAGAAGTGCAAAAAGAGCAGGAAATGTGCATACACAAAAGAGAGCTTACGGAATTAGATATATACCATAGAATATTAAGATTTAAAAATTATATGGTGGCTATGATCAATAAATCCTTGTTACCCGTTCGACTTAAAATCCCTGTTATAGGAGAAATTATTTTCATGACAAGAGGATTGAAATACAATATGGAGCTACTATTGTTTTGTAAGATTCTATATACTTAGATATTTATTAATTAAAAATAATATATGTATAAAAATAAAAATATAAATTGTTTCCACACAGGGGGACCATGGTCTCCGTTTGAAAACAATTGGCATCTCAAAGAAGACTATAAAAAGTTAAACAAAAGACAAGAACTTGCAAGAGCACTATCTAAACATATTTTATGGGTTGGAGTAGTGAATTTTCTACTTTGCCCGTTAATTTTACTCTGGCAGATACTCTATTCGTTTTTTAACTACGGCGAGGTGAGTACACGATTTGATTCAAGATAAATCTCTTGCTCGATATATATATTTCGTCTCGTAGGAATAATCTTATTGGAAAATATTTCTGTCTCGAACAGATCATCAAGCGAGAGCCAGGAACTTTAGGTACAAGAATGTGGTCTTTATACGGCCGGTTATACCTCCGTCATTTCAACGAACTTGATCACGAATTGAATGCCCGTCTAAATCGCGCATACCGTCCAGCTTCGAAATACATGAGCATATTTACATCCCCCATTATGACTGTTATCGCGAAAAACGTTGCTTTCGTAGCTGGAAGTATATTAGCAGTTTTATTAATATTAACTGTATACGATGAGGATGTACTTACGGTGGAGCACGTGTTGACTACCATGACCATATTGGGTGCTATGGTCGCAGGAGCAAGGGCGTTTATACCGGATGAGAATTTAGTTTGGTGTCCAGAGACTCTCTTAACTGCCGTCTTGGCCCATACACATTACAGACCGGATAGTTGGCGAGGTCACGCTCATACTCAAACCACGAGAGCAGAAGTAGCACAACTATTTCAATATCGTGCAGTTCATCTCTTAGAAGAATTAATTTCCCCTCTGCTTACACCATTTATTCTGTGCTTTCGGATGAGACAACGGGCCTTGGATATTGTGGACTTCTATCGTAATTTCACGATCGAAGTTACAGGCGTCGGGGACGTTTGCAGTTTTGCACAAATGGACGTGCGCAAACATGGCAATCCAACGTGGCAAACGGTGACTCGAAGTCCTGTCATAGATCAGACTGGTAGATACGATGTTAACCAGTACCCCATAGATCCGGAAAAACTTCAAATTCCTGTATCGGATCAATATACGCAAGCAGAAGACGGGAAAACCGAATTGTCCCTTATTCATTTCACCTTAACGAATCCCGAGTGGAAACCACCGAGTCACGCTGAGAATTTCGTCGCAGCTTTAAGAGAAAGAGTGAAGAAAGAAGTGCAAGGTGGTATACACGGTGAAATTAATCCCCTTTTGGCAAGCTTGAACAGTTTATCTAGCTTGGAACCGGGTGTAAGTGTTTAATGCGTCTCTATTCGAAATCAAAACGATGTAGAATTTAATTTGTCCAATCGTTTCAGTACAATGACATAGTATCGAACATAATTCGGAGCACAATGGTAAATCAGCCAGGTGGGCTAAGCACGAGTAATATGTTCTTGAACCAACCTGGTACCTCGACGGTTTCTGCCGCTGGGGATGAACTGTTAAATGTGAAATCAGACATTTTGCCGCATGCCGTTCAATGTGGTTTAAGCAAAGCCGAAGGGCCCGTACACAATGAAAAAGGATTTCTGTATGGTTTGCAACAAGGAATTTCGAATCAGTCCCTAGGCGCCTCTGTTTTTGTATCAAGCCATGAGTTATCCACTGATTTATCTGTACCGGTGGAGTTAATCGCTGCCGATATGTCTCTGTCTACATTGTACCTGCATGAACTTCATTATAGACAAGTATGTTTTCCAGCTGTATTTTTGAATGGCGCCAGTGACCGATTGAAATAAAATTTGCTGAATCACTGGTGTCATTTGTTATTAGAATAAAATGCTTTGTAAGAAACATTAAATATCAATATTGATATATGTACATTCATATATGAACTATATTTATATAGAAAAATTAAGTGTCGGATTAAATAATCTATCAACTACAGGTTCGAAGGAGGGGCTATCAAGAAATGGCTGCTAGAAGCATATGGCAACGAAGCCCTGTTCAAGAGCTTGCTACGCTTCCTGAAGTTAGACAAGAGAGAGCACCCTTGCTCTTACATCAAGATTCTTCTATAAGAAACAATAGAGAATTTAAATATAACGTGAACACTCATTTAGGTAGCATCTGAATCATTCGTGCAGTGATATCGCCACTTTTAACAGAATAAAATATTTTCATTCGCTTAACGATGCGATGTCCTCGTGATTTATTTTATAACAAGAGAATAGCTAGAACGTTTAAGAATCTGTGTTATCGATGTAAATACAATATTGAAATATTCCTTGACTAGACTCTCGTTTAGGAAGTGAAACGATCTCGAATGCCTATTTTAATCTATTCGAAGGCCTACGCGTGTGTACATTTTGCGCATCAAATTATGAATGAAACGCTTCCCAAAATTGTGTTAGGTTGTTGCGTTATACAACATGAAGAACTAATCGGGTTTCCGACGTCGAAATTTTTGTGAGAAAAATTCATTACTTGTATACATATTGCAACAGACAAAAAAGCTTTTTCTTTTTTTTTTTAAGTAAATGCAATTATAAAGATACGAATCTTTTGTATGTATGCGTGTGTGCGCGCGCGCATGTGTGTGTCTGTGTGTGGTAAGATCAGCTCTAGTTTTCAATGCCACGATTCTCTAGTCATATGAAATGAATCACACGCCATAGCATAAAGAATTATTTATTTCTTAAAATGTAGTTACTCGATAAACACGATGGCTGAACGTTAACGGCTACAGCATGCGAGAAATCGCTTATACACTGTATATATACTCGTATTCGAGCATCTCCTTAATACTGTCACAGAGTGCAGCTAAAATACGAACATTTACGTTTCACAAACTGGCAGGTTGTCACGAGGTATAAATTTAGAAGCGGCTTTAACTCGTGTTTATTCTTCGTTATGTGTAATGTATAACAACTTATAAGTACAGATTCTTATCGTAATCAAGACAACTATGATTTACATAGTTTAAGGATTTTTTAATTAAGTGACGCGTAACGAAAATAAGTAGAAATCTTATCGCGATAAAGATCTTAATACAGATATGGTTCTACAAATAAATTTTATAAAAAGCAAAAAGGATAATAATAATAATATCGAGATGATATTAATTTAAGGGTTCTTTGTAATTTATCATTATAATATACGATAAATAAATACATTAAGTAATAAATTAGTTTTCGTAAAAACCTGCGAAACTTTTTGTTCATATGTGTCATATACAAATCTATATATAAATGCGAATGTGGTTTAACAAACGAATGTTGAAAAATATGAATATCGAAAGTATTGTAATAATTATGAAATATGAACGCTTACCATAGCTGCAGGATTTTACCAACGGATTAGTGGAAGCCATGAAGTACAATTTACGGTGTAACCGAAATATCAGCGAAAAGATGACGAAAAAAGACTTCGTATACGACATTCGTCCACCAATTCAAAGTTCCAGAAAGGTAGGTTATTATAACTCGTATAACCAAATATCTTTTTCTCTTTCGATACACACTAGCCTCACGCGAATTTTTGTTTTTCGTTTAATTCATAAATACGAGATTTAGATTCGTGAATTCGAGAATTAGAAAAATCAGTATTTTATTAATGCGAATAATAAAACTTGAACGAGACACCAAGATTTTAAATCGAAGGTGACGCTACCGGTACAATAAACCAACATGGCGTATCATTTGCCCGCGCGAGAATATTCAAGGAATATTGAAACGATTGCCATGAAATATTAAATTATACGTCATACCGGTGTATGTGTAATGAGTTTAACGATAGATAATTTACATTTTAAAACGTTATCTGTATATTAGATAATTGTTAAAAAAATGGAATATCAAGAACTTTTGATATTTTATTTAAGCTATGTTATTATATATATTGGAACGTGGCGTCGTGTTTGACTGCGTACAACTTTTTACAAATATTTTTATTTTTATTTCATCGAAACTTAATTGAAATTCATGATATTTTGAACTTGTAGTCACTGAATACGCACAGTTCTCTTTATATTAGTAAACTACATATAATACGAAATAAACTATAAAAATTGACGGGAGTATTCGAAACGGTCAGTACGGTTAAAGCCATATTTGTACTGACGTAATTATGCGCATTGCGCAGTTTCTGTGTCATTTGAATACTGATGATTCGTAAGAAGGTATGTTTATAAAAGCAATACTTGTGACAACATTTCATGAAATGTAACCACCATTTTCGATTCTACGACTCTGCAATGATTTCGTTATCAGAAATATTTCCAAATATTATAAAAGAATCGTTATTATAACAAGTAGTAATGAAATAAATACAATTACGAAAACGACGACGTTGTTCACATTAGATACTTTAAAGTATATCGAACTGATGTGATTTTGATTTTAAATGCAAATAATGTAAACGATAATTGACATTTAACGTTGCAATATTTAATCTCGTATATTTGAACGTTCTTAGATTTTCGTATACGTTTATATGATATTCTATACGTTACCTTGACATCGATAGTATCCTTTTGTAACTTTTGGGCACCATTAGATGTTTGTCGTAGATGCTCTTATAAAAAAGAAATGTGTTTACAGTTGGAAGAAGGAAAATATCCAATCGTGTTACCACTACAACTGCGAAAAAAACATAGTACCGATTCGAAAATGCCCCAATACTCCGTTATTTCGGAAAAGAACGATTACAATCAAAATAACGACGAAATGAATGTAAGTCTGCAATTCTATCATTCAGTATGCAGTTTGTATTATTAATTGCACTATTATATACAAGGTTTCATCGTTTATTATATAATTTGTACAATTAATGTATCATTGTATATGTATTAATTGTTATTATATCCAATGTGTATTTCAGGAATATCTGCATATAATATAAATATTATGTATATTTGCTCCGATTATTAATCGATCGATATTATCAATTTTCGGAATCTAGTTTAATATCGTATCGATATTTATCATTCAGAAAGGTATATAGATCTTTTACTCATAGCTTTCAGAGCAACGAGCCTTGAAATTCGAGTGCAATTTCTGCCATGAACAAATTGCTACACTTTTGTCTTTGTCCACTCACATTAAATTTCATCGACGCAGATATTGCAAGTATTGCTACTGGATACTACCAGAGAACGAAACGATGAAAGAGCATATCGAAAGTACTCATCGAATCGATCCAGGTATGAACACATGTACATTGAATTTTTCTATACGAATAGATCGTCAATCACGATTAAATGTCAATATTGTAAAAGCGAAATTTGACAACAAAACAAAAATGTTCCGTACATTGTGTAAATGCGATGGACCTATATGGATTTCTATCATTGAGACGCTGTGTCTCATTGATATTAATCTAAATTGCTATTACTTGGCATTTTGTCTGTTTTTGGATACGTAGCTTATAAAGTTTGTCCACGATAGAAGATTACACAATAAAAGGCGGTATGTTTTTAACAATGCTTTTATTATATTTTAATCATTTATAATTAAAATACATCAGTTTTTTAGCAAATCATATAGTATGTACAAGAAATATAAATATTATAGGTTCGTCTATGCATTTAAGTTTTAACATGTACATTGTGCACTAACATTCAGTGATCTGGAATAACAGTCTGCAGTATACTTTCAACGTCATCTTGACAGTTTTCGTAAATGATATTTTTTCCTCGCAGTCCTAAGTCGTTTGCCAATAGCTTGAGGTTCTGTAAAACGGAAATTATTTGAGTTTACAAGAAGAAGATTTTAATACATCATTTACCTTTGCAACCGTTACATCAGTCCTCTTCAAATTTCTACAATCAAGTACAACGTCGTATGAATTTTCGTTTGAAAGCTTCATTATGTAAGCTCGAAAATGTTCCGCTGCTGGAAACGTGATACTCTCATCAGGAATAATGCGAATCACGGTTCTATCTCCTACCTACGGTTCAGGAATCATTTTACCACACACGACAATAAATTTTTGTCTAAATGCAACGGTGCTAAGCTAACTAAAACTACTAAAGTACCTTAGTTAGCTTGGTACTGTTACATTTGGCTGGAAACTTATTAGTAGTTAGTGCACAATGAGTTAAGAATGTTAGAATAACATTAAATATTTAAATAGTTAAAATATTAGTTTAATCGCGTAAAAGTGATACATTTAATTTACCTGTTCAATTTCGGTTTGAACCGATGGTCGAGCCGAGAAATACAATAATATTGCGAGATTTAACGATATACCGATAATGATTCCCCATTCCAGTTTAAGAAAAACGCAGAACAGTAAGGTAATCAACATGAGGAAAAAGTCGATTTCTGAAATGAGCCGCAACTGTCAGGAATATGAAATTGAATCGCGTTTGTCACGATCCAATTTACTTACTTTTTGCGCGCCATAATAGAGCATACGTTTTGAAGTCGAGCATGTAGTACATAGAGCATATTATAACGCCAGCTAAAGTCGCTTTAGGAATAAAACGAAAAGTGGATGTGAGCAAGCCAGCCGCTAGTAATACGAGAGCGCCTGCAACCAAGGAATTGTCACGATTAAGAAAAAAATTCAGGGCATTCGTTCGTACGTTTTCCAACTATCTGATTGTACTTCGTCTTTCTTTTCTCCCTTGGTGATACATATTATCGGCGAGACATTTATAATGCTTGTTTGAGAAGTCATATGTACACACACACACACACACACACACACTTACCTGTGAATAAACCTCCAAAAGTAGTTTTCACTCCAGATGAGTTATTGACAGCAGTTCGCGTAAAAGAACCTGTAACTGGCATTGATCGAACAAGCGAACCGCCTATGTTACACAATCCTAACGCGAGCATTTCTTGCGTGCCGTCCAAAGATTTGCCCTTTGCTAAAAGTTCATAGTTCGCTCGAAATTATTCAAATAATTTTAATTATTAAAATAATGTTCAAAATTGTATTGCCATCTAACGAATATACGTGTACGTTCATAATTGTTCGAACGACGTTGACAGCGGATGAGCATTTGCTGAATAGTTTGATATGTTAACCGCGTCGTTAAAAATCTGCATAATCATTATTTTTTACATTACAGGTCAATGAAAAGAAATTAGATCAGCTTCAGTTCCGAGCTTCGACTGTATAATACGTGAATCGTTCGAACGATTATGAATGATATTCTACATAATATAGAGTACCAAACGCTTTTGCTATCGCCATATGTTCAATGGTAGATACAATCGGGACGGTGACAAGCGACATTCCCATAGCACCAGCAGTCGTAAAGAAATCATTGGTTATTGCATTGAATTTCGGCAGACCAAACGGTGGCAATCCATGACCCATCGATCCTAGAAATCATTTATTTTTGCTCCCATTCTGTTCCTTCTTGTTGTGGACGCAGCGTTACGCGGTTTAACGAATGATCAAAGAACGGGTTTCTCGCGAGACGGATTCTCCAATTATCGTGTTGTTCTCACCGGTTAGATTAAAAGGATATAGATCGTAGATGGAAAAGATATACGCCATCAAAGTTCCTACGATGACCACCAATGCGTTGCGCGCCAGAATAGTGGCCCAGGCGATTTTCTGTGACCAAGTACCGGTTCGACGTCCAGGTAAATTCTTCGATAAAAAGCAATATGAATATTAAGTTATGTTCGATGAAAACATAGCTCCTGTCAGATTTTTATACGCTATTGGAATAACATTTTGTCCAACACTGAATCGAAGTATCGCAAACTAAAGAATAAAATGAATTATAGAATTGTTTAATTTTGACCCGTAATCTTTGATCGAATTTCGCTTTATGTGACTGTACCTTTAATAGAACCAACGCCGCTATCGTTCCAATACCTAGCAACGTGTCTTGGTACCGGATCATCCTCAGATTTGAAAACACCGAGATCAAAGAATCTACCAAGTCTTCGCTTCTACCGGGTATTCCTAACAACGGTTTGAACTGCGAAGTGGCTATGTTAATCGATGCAGCCGCGGTGAAGCCCGTAATTACGGGTAAGGAAATGAAGTCTAACAAGAAACCTGAAATTCGTGCGCAACTATTTTAATTGTTAGGAAAGACAGAGAAACGTAAGAAGGTTAAAGATGAAGGTCAGAATCTGGAACGTGTAATAAAACGTTTATAATTAAGGGTTTGTTAACAAATTCCATTTACAATTCTTCTCGTGTAAGCAAATGTTTCTGGTCACAACCAAAGAAATGTCAGCTAAATTGGAATTTGTTTTACCTGCCAAATATTACGTAACGAATACGTTATACGTACTATGAATAATTTATATATTTTTGCATATTATCTGCATGCTGTGCATTTTTGCATCTTCAAATTTGCGCCTTGAAAAAAGGCACGCATGAAAATCTGTAGTCAAATCACTCACCTAAATGAAAGAAGCCGAGTAACGCGATAATACAGCCTTTCAAAAACGTAAGCAGAACCGCGACATCAGCATTGTATTTTGTTACCAAAGGTTGCACCATCGTTGCCATAATAGCAGTTGGACCGATAGTAATACTTGTACAGGAACCAAAAATAATGTACAGGAAGGATGCCATGAAAGACGCATATAACCCATACTAAAGGAAAAAAGAGACAAAATGGTGTGACGTTTGAATTAAAAGACGTAGAAACTAATACGCTTCTATCAATGCCAGTTGACGAGTTCACAGCAAAAACAACGCCGCAAGTGTAAAACTTTGCAACTGTAAAATCTATTGTCACATACACCTACACATATGTATATAGAGTCTTTTGAAACAATTTTTTGATCATGTTATTCAGGATCCTATTGTACTTTTGTAAGATTGTATCGTCAATTTTAAAATCTTAGAAAATTTCAGAAAAAGTCAGAAATTCCTGCGTGATATCTTCTTTATGCAAAGAAGATTGTTCTAATTGAAGAATCTCCAGGGTCTGGCCTTGACAAGCTTCATCTATTAAATCTATCGAATTACAATTTGATTGATATTACTTCCAAGAAATCTGTGAACGTTGAAAGTTTTACAATAGAAATTTGACTGTCGCCACTGATCTTGACGCATGTTCGGAAAATCGATCTTTTTTATGCAAAATGTTTTCTGCTTTCTGGAAAAATTCGAATGTGGGAAAGAGAGTCGTCCTTCTTACGAGGCTGTCGGAAAAGCGTTAATTTACCTCGGGACTTAAATCAGCCACGATAGCGTAAGCGATGCCTTGAGGAATAGCCGTGAGGCCAACCGTGAAGCCGGCCAGTGCATCTTGAGGCAGCCATGTGAGTTTGTAATTCCTAGCCCACGACAGAATCGGTAGCCTCCTCTTCGTGTACTTGTAGCAACAGTCCCTGCTGCATCGTGACACTTGAAACGATACAACGGTATACGTGAATTTCACTTTAACTTCTAAGGTATCTGTCAACATTTTCACGAAAGATCCACAAAAAAAACTCCAGCAAATCGAATAGCGTTTCCGCCTTTAAACATGGAAATAGAAACTTAATTCTTTTGATATCCCCCCCCCCCCCC